GAATTGTGATGTTGGTGATTAGAAAAAAATTTCAAAGTCATCAAATGAATTCAAAGGTAATGGGAGGTTCGTTTTAAATAAATTTCAAAATAGCTCAGATCAAGCGGAGTTGATGTGAATGTCTGTCTGTTTGATTATATTACCGTTGCACCATCAATCTCAGTTTAAACAAGTAAATTTATAAACAAAAAGTATGTTTTAGGCAATGATGTCAGCTGGCAGAGAAAACATTGGCTAAACTGGACGAGTCCAACGTATAACTTCAATCACCCCAAGAACCAACTGGCGAATATCGCCTTAGCAATGACCCATGACACAGTCCAAATTACGGCATGTTGTCAGTTTCAATTTTTAATTGTGTCAAAAGTCACGTGAGTGAGTCAAGTGATTAACATTTTTCCATCATAATTACCCGAGTCCGAAATGATTATTTAAAGTTTTGTCATCATTCCCTAGAACGATTGTTAAGGTTGTTATTGTACTTCCAACCACAAAAAAAAAATGCTTGGTAGTCAGTCATCAGATGGTGACTCGACTAATATTTTACCAAAAAATCATCGTCCCTGTTACTTTATTTAGAACCGTCATTTAATAATTGAAATTACTATATTTAATACTTTATTTATAATAGTTATACTTTAAAAAATTTCAAACTTATATTTCAATTTTATTCCAAGAAGAAATTAAAGAAAGAGAAATATAATAAAAATTTAAAGAAAAGCTACACACACCACATTATCAATAAATTAATCTTCGTATTAATTTGAATTTGAATTACATGTCTCCATACTTCTGTCATTATTTTAGTCAACCTAGGAATTATCGAAGAGAGAGGAAAATCCATCCATCCTGAGTAAGTCATAACTGATATAAAGAATTGACGCAACTGGCAAAGCTTAAGAGATTAATATATTCGAGATCAAAGAACAATAAGTAAAGAGATAATCTAAACTATAAGAGAGAATAAAATATTATATACACACTTGTTATACGAGTCAAAACTTACTGCATAATTGGCAACGATACGTCTATTAATATTTTAAATATACAATAACTCTGTTGTTATAAGAAAAATATTTATAATAAAAATCTACCGATTAAAGAAAACTTTCTACACTATGTCACAATGACAAAACACCATTGTCCTATATGCAAAGCAACTCCTCGTACACCATATTGTAAAAAACATCAAATCGTTTGTAGAATACATCGGAAAATTCATCTGAAAAAGGAGGAATGTCGGGTTTGCAAGAGAATAAGTATTTATTACTTTACAATTTGAAATCTAATTAAAAAGTATTATTAATAATTGACTATTATCTCATCCTCTTTAAAAAATTTGTAGAAAGGCTAAAAGAAAACTCGTTGCCATATTTACTAATTTAATATTAACAGTCATGCTTGAAATTCAGTGCGAAGGATTGTGTTACATAATAACAATCCCTCCTCGCACTACACGTAAATTTCATACATTGCATGCACATAATTATCTAAAATAAAACAAAAATTTTTTTAATTATAATCCAACTTTACATAAAAATTTCAACTAATTGAGCCAATTATTATCATTAGTTGAAAATTTTTTAATCCATAACCAAAACATATTGTAATTTACCTCATTAGGAACTTATTTCATATTTGTTGTCACTGTATTTATAAGATTTCAAGGCAAAAGTTTTGCTATTGTTAAATATTGCTTTATGAACTTTTCTAGGAACCACCCGAACCAATTTTTTGAAGATTTTTAAGGCTTACTATATTTATAAAAATTAGTGTTCATTCTGAATTGCCTCATTGAGCCATACTAACCAATTATTCTTGAATTTATCAATAATTGCTTTTGTTTTCATTGATTATTTATTCCATTCTTCGTCGCATCATTTGTTTCTTTGCTATCTTAATAATTGGAGGAAGTGATGATGGTTTGGATAATTGTGGCGAAGGAATTCTTGTGCTCTTCAATTTAAATTCTTCGTTATTACTAATAGGTATTTGTAGAGCTTCATCACATCACCATCATTTGAATGACTATTTATTGATTTTATCATAATCTCAATATTTCTTTGTTCTGCAGTCTATATAATAGTATTTGGTGATGATTTAGAATTAATTATATCATACAAACAATAAATAAATAAATATGTTTGCTAAAGGCAACAAATTTAAAGCATGAATAATTCGATTTATTAAATTTGCATTATGTTTCATTACTCCACTTATTCAGAGATATTATCAATCCTTCAACTGTCATTGTTGTATTTACACATGTCAATATTTTTTTTTATTGGTATATACTGTATAAATCTCCCAAAACACGTGATTCTGCTACCAGACAAATTAATGTCAAAAAATCCAAATCGATTGTGTTGGTCACCAAAATTATTTTGAAGAGACAAAAGTCAAAACTAAAATTAAAAGTTATATGTCAAAACTAAATCAAAAGTCAATAGTCAAAATCAAAACTAGTTTCGACTTATGGCGAAACCTTTTGACTTTAGCACGGTTGCGAAACTCTCTAGTTTTGGAAAACAACACTAGTTAGATTGATAATTGTACTTGCATGCCTGGGGTGTGTGAAGGGATGGGAAATTGCATTAAATTTTAAAATTTCATGTGCATTTATATTTGGCATTACTACTTTTAACATTTTTAATGCGTTATTTATTCATTATTAAAAATATCGTCCTGCCAATATCACTATTATCAACATTATCAACATTGTCATCACTATCATCAACAGTATCATCACTATCACACTATCATCAATATCTTCGCTTACATTTGTAACTTTAATTTATCTTTGGGGTTTTCAATTTATTATTAAAATATATATAAACTAATTTAAAAACACGGTCATTTGTCAATTTATTTCGTTTTTTATCATGTATATAAGAAAGTGTAGACCAATTCCTTTCTGCTGCAGCTGATGAGGTAAGAAAGAAACTTTTGTCAATTCAGGTGCCACAGCTCCAAAATTACCTTTCCACCAGGTTAATAAATCCATATTATTGGTAGATATCCATGCCAAATTGGTTGCCCGATATACCACCACGAGCTTTATATTAATATTGTAAAATTTAATTTCTGCATTTTCTGTATGTGACATTGCATTTTTTTTCATGCGCATGGAACATCACTAGGTGCGTACCTTACTCGGAGATTAAGTAACTAAATAGTGGGGATATTATATCCTTACTTTTATTTATCGTCCGTCGAATATCAAGTTTTGTTATCAAAAAAAATTTTTAAATCATATGTATGTGTATGATATAATCATAAATGCTAGAGACAACTGTTTATTTATTGTAGGAAAAGGAAAATCCTTATTATATCCTTTATTTGGCGTTATTGTATACATGATTCACGCGTGAAATTCAAATTAACCAATCTCACCACAAAATTTTCACACGATTTGGATTGGGTATATGCAGGTTAAGTATAGTACACTTTTTTGCAGGGCCTTTTGAATTAGGACTGTTTAATTGACAATATTAATATTATAATAAATTCTTTATAAAAATTCGTAATAATAATGTCATTTATTATTATCTTGATATATATAATGGATATTGGTGATTCTTGCTCTTTTTGGTTATTATAATTTTTATAATAATATGATAAATTGCACGTAATAACGCACGATTAATAATGTATTATTATTATATATAAGTGTATGATAGATAATACGTTATTATGTATAATAATAACGTATGTTAATTAATATATAATACCATATGTTAATTAATGTAAATAAGAGATGTGTAGATAAACAGTTTTATAATATTGTGAGATTGTATGCGGTTAAAAAATTGAATATTCATGGTGATGCTACTATGATCCTAGTATAACATCATAGTTTATAATTAATTTTCTTAATATTATGTTTTCATTTATATTTTTAATGCGGGTTATGTCAAAAGATTAAAAAGTAAAAATTCTCAAGAACAAATACAAACAGGAATAGAAGATTATTATGTTGACATCACATGATTTAATTATTCAAAATTTTTTTGATTTAACGGATATCTTGATTTAGTGTATAATAAATTTCCTGGTACAAACATGTCCATTAAATCGAGACTCACTGTGTAAGTCTTATCGATGGAAAATCTTCGAATTATTATTTTCCGTTTGCTTTGTGGTTTATGGTCATAACAACAAAAGTTAAGCAACCAGAGAAAGAAATAACAGTGTAGATGATCCATAAAAAAACTATATAGGTATATGTTAGGGGAATTCTTTAATTTGGGAAGTCTGCTATTATTATGTAGAAATTAGTAATGGGCAGAAGAGAAAAAATGCTAGTTTCATGGGCCATGTAAAAAACTGCCATAATAATTTTTAGGAAGAGATGATATTTTCTTATCGACTGATGTTAATAATGAAACTATATTACTCCATTTTATAATATAAAGTAAATGTCAGCTCACAATATCGTAGTGTAATGTAAATATGCAGGAAGGATAACTTGCTGCAAGGAGAGGTCCCTTTTCTTCTCAAGTATTTCGAAAAGTAGCTTTAATTACCATCCAGCTCACTCGGTTGATAAAGGGTCTCGTTTGATAATTTTTGGCTTGAAATCAAGAAAGGATGATTACCTGTTGTGAGTGAACGTATGATTCCCAAGGATGTATATTTGCATGTAATTGTTTGATTAATAAAGTTTATTTAATAAAGTTGCTATTTAAAGAATGAATGCTAGTTTGATTTGATATTATTGGATAAAAGATGCACGTTAAAAATAAAAATGATCTTGTGAAACTTCAAATTAAAATTAAGATTTATTTATTTACACAATAATTATTATTTTAAAAGTAGTTAAAAAAAAAGTTTGTTGTAAAAATAAAATTCTGATAATTCATCATCCACCAAATTCACACAATTCACTAATCTCGTCAAATTAATCATTTTTATTCTCATTGATCTTATTCATTCATCAAGAATAAAAAGGTCATGTTAGCGATTTATCCATTTTGACTTGTTATATTCGTATTGTTATACTATTTTAGTGGCTCTTCTTGCTCCTTCTGCTCCTCCTGCTGCTGTTGGCTTGATTGTTGCTTAATGGATTCTAGTAATGAAGTGTCAATAACATAATCTTTAAGGAAAAATTCAAATTTTTCCAAATGTCTAACTCTTTGTGAGAGTTCTAAAAAATTCTCGCGTTTTTCTATGTCATCATCCTTCATAACTAATAGAAGGCTTTCGTTGGTTTTCTTTTTAAGTTTTCTGAATCCACAGCGTCCACTATTCACGAAACCCCATGGACTGATTAAATCAATTCCTGAGAATTTTGAAACAAGTGAACAAATTGTGAATCGCAATAACTAAAAAAAAAAAAAAAAAAAGTCAACTTACCAAATAAAAATACATAAAAAGCCACAATAGCACTATAATAGCCAAGGATACTTCCTACTATGGATATGAGCTATTTATCAGAATTATGATTACTATTTATGTAGGACAGATTTTCAAAAACTGAGGAGGTCTAAAGTATTATTACTTACAGTGCTGTTCCTATTATAATGTTATGATTATTTGTAAATTTGTAAAATTGTACGTTAACAAAATATTAGCAAAATCAATTCATTCAAGTGGGTTTTACCTTTGTTCTACTTCCTCTTCTACCATAAAGTATTTTGGAGTAATGGCTACTGTTATAAGAGACGGGTCACCTGTCACGCTCGACATCTCTGTGGTTATTAATCAACATCAGTGTTAAATATGCACACATGATAAAAATGCGCAATATAATTTTTAAAACAAATATACTTGCGTATTTCTGACTCAACAAATTTTTGGCTAATGTATCTTGGTGGAATACCAAGGTAATTTAAAATTGAATTGGTCATCGTTTGTCTGATCTTTCTATAGAACCATAAAACATACATCTATTGATTTTTGAATAATTTATTAATAACACATTGTCGATTTTGATAAAATGATGATACGTACAGCATTCCCTGATAAATAATATCTATTCATATGTGCACGTGACCTTATAAATGGGGTTGTCGTTTTGTCAAAGAAAAAATTATCACTCATTGGATCATATTCTATTTATTAATGGCCATGTTATTATTGTCAATGCATCAAAATATAAATCAAGATTTGCTATATACCAATTTTATGAAAACTTTACCTGAATCAAACACTTGCATCAACATCATTTTGTAAACAGTGTAAGTGGTATTAGTAGTATTATTCCCAACATTTATTGAAAGATAAACAGTATTCGATCTTTGACCCTTAGCCTCGGTCAACCATATTTCTTTTGGCACAAACTTTCCAATATAACGACGAGAGTGATTGGTTTCTATTGGCTGTGTAACATAATTATCGCAATTTTCTTTTTGATCATTTTAAGTTGGATATAATAAAAATAATAATAAAATAATAAAACAATCAATTACGAAGGCTTATTTACCCGGAGGTTCTCCACTAAGTTTGCACATACAAGTGATATTAAATTCTCCGTAATGTGATAAATAGATGTCTGTATTGATTCGTGGTTTTGATATCAGAAAATACGTTGTTTGATTTTGGTTCTTTAACTCAAAAAAAAAAAAACCTATTTTACCTGGAGGGGGTATACTTTCAATTGGTGAAAAGCTACTACTGATAGTAATCTTTTCATTGATCAGCTTCATCAACAATATCACAAAGAAAAGAGTTAATACTAAAAATAACATAAGAATAGCAGAACGTCGAAAACACAAAATCGATGTTGATTCAGTTTTGCGTCGTTTTTTGATCAAGTCTTGCAACATTTTTTATAATAAGAGAACGAGGAGGAAATGAAAATGTGAAATTTATATCCTGTTAGCCATTCCACCAATCTTGCCTTTTTAAACCATCATCCCCAAATCAGGGAAACAATAATTTTTATCTTTTGCAATTGCGCATATTGTATAAGTTAATCTTGAGTTTTGAAATGGTAATGAAGGAATTCATTTAAAATATTTCACGAAAATTTATTATTATTATTATAAGATTTTGGGAGTAAATTTCGTTATTAGGAAAATCGACTCTCGGACAAATAATGTATTTTAGTATTTAAATAAGAATTGTCCTAAGACCAGAATGTTTATTAAGAAATCGGTATTGTGTTGTGATTCGAATTATTTTTCAAGTCAAAACTTGTTAGAAATATTTATAGAATTGCATAACATTTAAATATAAATAAATAATAAATATACAGTGTGTAACTAAAATAATAGCGGTGACAAAATGTTGCATATCTCAACAAATATTGAAAGGTAGGTGAAGGGTAAGTTTTCATGATTGCAAAACGGGTTTAGATTTATTTGAAATAAAAAAATTTTATATTAATATTGCCAATTTTTTTTCTAGTTAATTCGCATCTTTTTTTTTAAAAACCTTCACAAAATTTTTGAAATGTCGATCATTTTATTATAAATTTTTGGTGTCAATATGTGAATATCAATTAATAATGTGTGTGAGGTTAGCTCATTTTACTTTGCAAATCATTAAAAATACTTTAATATTAACATGGGGAAGTTGGGTACCGGAAGGAAGGACAATTTCTCAATATTTTAGATTTACTTTTCCAGAAATGATTGTAAGACACTCGCGATTGAGAAGGGGGGAAATAATAATTTTATTTTCAAATAGTATATAACAAGTTCATTCTCTCCAACAACGAATTTCCTTCTCTTTTGATATTATATCTGTCACGTTATCATGACTCGGAGAACCAACTGAACCAATAATAGAGAGGCGCAGCTAATGCCAAGCAAATCAAATTGAATCAAGTTCAAAGATGGATAAGCTTTATACTTTTGGGTTGATTACTCCGATTATCTAATAGAGAAAGTGCATTGAATAATTAACTCCTCAGAAGGTTTCGGACATTGTTTATCTATCCAAGTAATCTTTTTTGCAACCAAAATCTATTAGTAATAAAGTTTCACTATGTTCAAGCATTTTGACCATATTTGTGGGTGTACATTGAACCAAGGGTCTTTGCGTCTCTGGCATTAAGATCAAAATCATTCTTGGCGGATGAAAATAATATAGAAAAGAGTCTCAAGCTAAATAAGCTTTGCATTAATGTGCGTGCGAATTTGAAATTTTTTAAAATACATGATGAACAATTTTCTCGCCTTGTTCTTTTTTGAGTATACTTCTGAACTTTAGCTTTTAATTTATATTTATATTTTATATGTAAAGCGACTGAACTTTCTTGTTCACTTTTTCACCTCATATAATGTATTATTACTTTTCTTTAACATTCAACCATTTATTAACATCAAGAGAGGCAAAAAAAAATTTTTTTATTAATTAATGTTAAATTAACATCTAAAGAATAAATTATTGTCTATCAATATTTACATATTTAAAATTAAATTAAATTATTAAAATAATAGAATTTTATATTAAATATAAATTGTTTATAAAAACACTTGTTAATTTGTGCTTAATTCTTGTTCTTGCACCATATTATAATATATACCATTCTTTGATAATAATTCTTGATGAGTACCTTGTTCATGTACTTTGCCATCTTTTATCACAAATATTACATCAGCATGTTGTATTGTACTTAGTCTATGTGCAATTGCCAATGTTGTTCTACCCTTAGCTGCCAAATCTAATGCCTTTTGAACAACCTTCTCTGATTCTGAATCAAGCACTGATATTGCTTCATCAAGTAGTAAAATTTTGGGATTACGAATCAAAGCTCTTGCTATAGCAATTCTTTGTTTCTGCCCATCAGATAATTGTGTTCCTTTACCACCTACATAAGTGTTATAACCATCTGGTAAATCTTTAATAAAATCATGTATGTTTGCTTCCTTACATACTCTTTCAACATCCTCCTGTGTTGGTGATTGCCCTTCTTTGGCACCAAATATCACATTATCTTTAATTGTCATATTGTAAAGTGATGGTTCTTGTGAAACAAGAGCTATGTTTGATCTTAGATCATTAATATTCATTTTGGAAGCATCAATCCCATCAACTTCAACTCTACCAATTGTTGTTTCATAAAATCTCTCAATCAATCCAATTGTTGTTGACTTACCACATCCAGAAGGTCCAACTAATGCAGCAAACTGTCCAGGTTTGATCTCAAGTGTCAACCCTTTTAATACTGGGACATGTGGTCTTGTTGGATACTGGAAATGTACATCAATAAATTTGATATGTCCATTAATATTCTCAACTCTTTCACCATTGTTTTCTACATTTGGTTTATTTTCCAATAATGCAATTATGGATGCAGCTGCTGATTTTGCTTTTACAATATCTGGTGCAAGTGCAAATACACGTGCAGCTGACAGTGATCCATAAACAATGGCCATGAAAATTGTAAAGAATTTTTGTAAATCATATTCACCAGTCTTAAACAATAAACTTCCATACCAAAATGCCAATCCATTAATAAACATCAATATACATTGTGAAAATGCAAATGCAATTGATGCATAAAAAGAATTGTATGTTCCTTGTTTCATTGGTTCATCCAACAAATTATGATAAATATTCCACAAGTCATCTTCACATGTAAGAGCTGCAACAGTTCTCATGTTGGCTGTACCTTCACATGCAATTTGAGCAGAATGTTCATATGTTTTTTTGGTTTTTTCTTTGAATCTATCCAACATTTTTATACGTATTAAACTAGATGCTATCAACAAAGGTATTGTTGCCATACAAACTAAAGCAAATTTCCATCCCATCACTAATCCAATTATCAAACCACCAATTATAGTTGTGAAAACTTGTAAAATTCTTCCAATTGTCACACCAGCCAATCCATTCACATGTGTTGCATCCAGTGATAATGAACTTGTCAATACACCAACTGTATGATCCTTCTCATCAAAAAATGATATGTCTTGATGTAATATTGCTGCAAATGACTGTGACCGTATGCGTTGTATAAGGTTTTTACCAGAAAGTCCAAATAATATCCCTTGTATAAAATTAGCCAACATCATCGCAACAGCAATAACCACTATTTAATGTAATTAATATGAGAAAAGCAATAATAATATAGTAAATATTTGTAAATTAATAACATCTAAAAATTTTTATGATATTGTAAAATAGAAGGGAAAGAAAGTACATACAAAACATAAGTGACCAGAATTCAGCATCTTGAGTTAATTTATCACCAGTTGTAGAAAATGCTTGTATGATGTTTGCAAATATTATGGAAAACACAGGATAAATAGAACCAGCCAGAATAGCACCAAATAATCCAAGAACTATTAATGGGAGTTCTGGTTGATTTATAGTGATCACTTTTCTTACAAGTTCAAATATTTTGTAATTGCTATCTTTCTTGATACCAGATTCAATATCAGCCAACTTTTTAGATATTATTGCTGATGATGCTGACTTATTTGTAATCATTTGACTTATTTGAATATCTTCATCATCAGGAAAATTTTCCTCTTGTTTTTTGGTTGGAATTGATAATGATGATGATGATGATGATTCTTCAGTTTTACTTGTTATATGTTGAGCTTTAACCAATTTAAAATAGTAACCTTCTTTTGCCATAAGTTCATTATGATTACCAGATTCAACAATAACACCTTTATTCATCACAATAATTTTTGTTGCATTTTTGATTGTTGACAAATGATGGGCAATGATTATAGTTGTACAATTTTGTGAAGCTTTATCAAGAGCATCTTGTACAATTCCCTCACTGTTGGTATCAAGAGCACTTGTAGCCTCATCAAGTAATAAAATTGTTGGGTTTTTAACAATAGCACGAGCAATTGCTATACATTGTTTTTGACCACCAGATAATAAGAATCCATTTTCACCAACCATTGTGTCATATTTATTTGGTAAATTCATAATGAAATCATGTGCATTTGCCATTTTACATGCAGTTTCAATCATTTCATGTTTTTTTTCATCATTAAGCTGCTCATGCTCTGAACCAATCAAACCATGAGAAATGTTTTCAGCAATTGTTGTATTGAAAAGTACAGGTTCTTGATCCACCCAACTCATTTGTCTACGTAGCCATTTCAAATTAAGTGATTTTATGTCATGGCCATCAATTGTAATACTTCCCATAACAGGATCATAGAACCTGAGAACAAGTGATAAAATTGTGCTTTTTCCTGATCCAGATGAACCAACCAAAGCCACAGTGGAACCAGCTGGAATATTCAATGAAACATTATCTAAAGTTTGAACATCAGGCCTTGTAGGATAAACAAAAGAGACATTTTTAAGTTCTATGTGACCTTGAACACCATCTACAAGTTGTTCACCTTCCTCAGATGAAGAATCAATTACTGGAACCCGGTTAATTGTTTCAAAAATTTTTGAACTTGCACCAATTGCAAAACTGAAAGCTTGAATCTCAGGAGCAAGATTTCCAAGAGAGAAAGCACCAAACATCACAGCATAAAATACATTTACAACATCACCAGAAGTCAATTCACCAGATGAAATCAAAGTTGATCCAAACCAAAAAGCCAAGGCATATGTTGCATAAATAAAAAGATAGATGACACCAAGTGAAGTACTATAGACCATAGTTTTTTTCATATCTTGAACTTTAGCTTTTTCTAAACGTGCATCATATAATTTAGAAAGTTTTTTCTGGTTTCCAAATGCCACAGCAGTTCTTATTGTTGCAATAACTTCTTCAGCTATTGTACTAGCCAATGAATAAAAATACAAAGCTTTCCTCATGTGTGCTGAAGTAAGTTTATTCATGATTCCACTTGTTATTGCAATCAATGGTATTACACAACAAATCACAAGTGTCATTTTCCAATTTTTTACAAAAGCTATAATAAATCCAGTAATGAATGCACAAAAATACTAAAAAATAAAGAAAGTGTTGATGAACAATAAAATTTATATCAAGATTGATATAAAAAGAATGAAATAAAACTATTTAAATTAATTTGGTAATTACTTGAACAGCCACGGCAACTTTTTCACTAATACCATCTTGGATCAAATGAGTATCAGAAGCGATACGAGTTGTTACTTCACCAGCACCAAGTTTATCGAAATAAGCAATATTTTGACGAAGTAACGCACGAAGATAAGCTTCACGAATTTTTCGTGTAATTCTAAATGATTTTTTTAGAATATAATTAATAGTAAATTAAATTAATAGATTAATACCAATATAGAAAATGCGCAGTTAAGTCGTTAATTGTATAATTATTCACCTTCCACCAGTATAAACCCAACATGTCATACAAATATAAGCGGCAACAAAAATAGCAATGCCAAGGTACACAAAGGATAATGTGTTACTATTAACTGCTTTTTGAAAGTCTTTGCTACTAATTCGGTCTGTTTGAAAATCCGTGAAAGAATTAATCATTTGTCCAAATATGATGGTCATTGATGGCTAATTAATTCAATTAGTTTTAGAAATATATATATTACGTGATATATTATGTAAAATATTTTTTTTAAAAATTGCAAATATTTACCGCGGCAGCACCAGTAATAGCAGAAAATATTAAACCGAAAATCATTATACACCAATCTTTTCTACTGGCAAAAGAATATAATTTCCAATAAGATGGTTTATGTTCGTCGATATTAACTTGAGACTTTAAAGCATTTTCAGCTTCTGAATTCAGTAATCTATTGTCATTATTATCATCATTATTATTGTTATCATTATTATTGTTATCATTATTATTATCATCGATTTTTAATGTAACTGATTGTGCGTTAGACATTCTTGTATATTATAAGAAATCGATTTTTTTAATTAGAAATTCTTATTTTTATTTTTTTTACAAGAATATGTATCTTAAGTTCAAAGGACAATTTATTTCCTTTTTTAACGACCGAAAATTTTTGGAGTTTATATATAAAATTAGTATGAGCTATATTATATCACCGAAATTTGGTCATAATTTTATGATCATAGTAATAGTAGTAATACAACAATAAAATAATTGCTTGGCTTTTTTTTTGTTGGGGAAATCCAGATCGTGCTCATTTTAAATTAAAGAAATTATAAAGAAGATCAATTGAAAATGACAAATTGTTTGACTTAAAATAGAATAGCCTCGGATCATTGAGAAATCTGCGAAGTTTCGAGCCAAAGTTTTGAGATAATTTTATTTACAAGCTATTATTTTCAAGGTATATTGATTGACATTTAGGATTCTGCCTCTTGCTACCCTACTTTCGTAAATAAATATTACTCATAACTTTCACCACTCTAATATCATCAATATTGAAATGTCGAGGATTTTAATCGATTCACAGATCAACTTAAATTTAGGCAGCAAATAAATTATTCTAATAAAATAACGTGACATTATTTTTTCTCGTGATTTCAGAAATCATTTACGTAAACAAGTTTGATTAATTAATATTAATATTAATTGATTGATTGATGCGAAAATCATTTGTAATGATTTTCTTATTATGATGATAATAAATAATATTGTCATCATAATTTTTTTTTTTTGACCAAAAACTATGAATGTTTATTTAACTCTAGAGAATTAATTAATGATAATCAAACCTTTTTTCTCTCACACAAATATTAAATTATGGAATTTCTTGCTTCTGCCCCACCACCAATTATAAAACCTAATATTTATAACGTGGATCCAAAAAATGCGACTTTAGTTCCTTTAAACATTGCAATTAGAATATTCGTAAAACGTTTAGAAACCAAGTTACTTGAATTTATCAATAACAATAAAAATAATCATAATGACAATGACAACGATGAACCCGGGGGTTTTTTATCCAAATTTATCACTACTATTAATAAAGCTAAATCCGTATGTGATCAATACGATTATATAATTAGCCTTAATAAGAAAAATGGTCATAAAGCTGATCTATTGACTCATTGGATTATGGTGATAAAAGATGAATGGGGGAATGTTGATTTGAAGAAAATCATAAATCGTGAATGGAAGACTGGTGACGTTCCTAAAGTCCTGCTGCAACGTAATTTTAGAACAAAGAAAAAACAAAATTCATGGAAAATTCAAGCTTCATTGCTCGAAAAAAATAAAAAACCAAAGGTTGATAAGGACAAAAAATTTAAACAAGAAGAAAAGGAAATAGAAAATATTAATGACAACGTAAAACAAATAAATCTGAAAGGTATAACTATCAAGGAAGTTGAAAACAAAAAGATAAAGAGCATTTCATGGGCTGATGAAGTTAACGAAGAATTTGGAGAAGTTTCATCAATTACAAGAGATAATAATGAGGATGATGTCAATGATGATTATATGAATAATAATGTAACTGAAAATGAAACAACTCCAATAAAAAATCATTTAACACAAATCGAAGAAATTGAACCATACAACTCTGCAAATGTAATAGTAACGATTAATGATTCGCAAATCGAATGCGATTCAGTTTCTTCATCCAACAACATTGAATCTACAAATTTAGGCGAAGAAGGAGGTGGGGAAGTGGCAGATCAGTGTGAACTAGAAGATGGAGATGGAGGAAACGAAAAGGTAGAAAGAGAAAGACAAGTAGAAGAAGAAGGGGCAGGTATAGGAGTGGGGGGAGAATTAGTATTGACTAATAATAATAATAATAATCTACCTAAAGAAGAATTCGCTGATTTCAACATCACAAAGAATGTGAATGATGAGGTTCTTGGCTTTAATCACAATGATAATAATTATCCTGAAAAAGTAGCTATTGATGGCATTGAAATTGTTAATCCTAATGATCCAACAACTTGCGCTATCAACAATAATGATACTAGGCCAAATAATACTATAAATCACACGTTCCAATGGAACTGTGATTATGGAAATGATGTTTCTATTACAGGAACTTTTGGTCCCAAATACAAAAACTGGCAACTCATTCCAATGAAAAGAAATCAACTTGGAGTTTATGAAGTTTCAATTGATCTTGAAATAGGAAGAAAGTACTTCTATAAATATATTGTTGATAACCAATGGAAATTGGATCCTGAAGTTCCAACCGACTTTGATGAATTAGGAAACGAAAATAATACGATTGTTTTATCAACTAATGATAATAACAATAACAACAATAACGATAATAATGATATTATTTCTCACCCTTATTCCCTAATTGGAGAAGAAGGATTGATAGTTTCTGCAAATGACGTCGTTTACAATGATGATATTCGTCAATCGAGTAATTTACAATCGCACGCAGCTTTAATTTATAAAGAACTTCAAGGTGAATTAGAAACACGTCAATTAATATACGAGATTGATTCCAAACTTCATATTTCCGAAGCACCAAAAGGAAAAGATAAAAAACGCGGTCAAAAATTAAAAGCTTACAAGCAACAATTGGTAATTAAATCGGTTTTTTTTTGTGGGCAAGAGATGTATTATTATATTACTAACTTTATAATAATGCTAACTATGTTTGTTTGTGTATTATATATAATGCACGCATACGTATAGCTTAATCATTCAATAAGATTACAAGATGGCGAAAAACGAATTATTTTACATAAATTTGAAAAAATATTAGATGGTTGGAAAATTGTTGTTGATAGTCTCTAATATGTATTATTGTTATTATTATGGGAAATTTGTTTAGATTATTGCTTACACGCAAATAAAGTAACATTAATATTGCTTATATTTGAAAATCTTTCAGTAAAATCATATTATGACGAACTTTCCAGTTCATTTTTATTATCTTCTTCGGATTACATAAATATCTAATAATATTTTATGATAATTTAATCTGATTTAATTAATTAATTATTAAAAAAAAAAATAATGAATGTTATAATAATGATATCAAATAATTATTAATTTGTTTTTTTGGACTGCTTGATGTTTTGAAACCACGTCGCTTTATAATCTTTGTTTGCCAACATGAAAATTTTTAGCATTACAAAAGCAACTTATAGGGATTCTCTATATAAGATCTCCATTCTTTAAGCCATTGCGCACCAACAGCACCATCCACCACTCTGTGATCACATGAAAGTGTAGCATGTAAAGTATTAACAACTCGATATTCTCCTCCTGTGTTAGAAGGCGATGAATCTAGGATAAGTTTTTTCTCTGCAGATCCTATTGCTAAAATGCATGACTGTGGTGGATTGATTATTGCTGTGAACGATTTTATACCATACATTCCAAGATTTGAAATTGTAAAACTTCCACCCTAAGGAAAAAATAATGAGAGCACGGGTGTGAATTGAATATTATTATATTATGGTATGAGTGGCACGGGTTAATCAGTCAAATACCTGATATTCTTCTGGTGTTAATTTTCCTTCTCTTGCACGGCCAGCCAATTCTTTAACTTGATTTGATATAGATGCTAACCCTAATGATTGAGCATTTCTTACAATAGGTGTGAGTAATCCTGTAGGTGTTGCTGTTGCCACAGAAACATCAGCACTTTGATATCTACATCATGGGGATGACGATAATTACGATAAAAAATTATAATTAAATAAATTAATCAATAAATTTTAATCTTTAATTTCTTAATTCCACTAGTAGTAATTTAAAGGCTACTTACTGTCTGATAAAATCATTATACCAAGCACTATTAACCTCAGGAACAACCATTAGTGCAGATGCGGAAGCTTTAATAATAAAATCATTAACCGACAATTTATATCTACCATTACTTTGACTATTCAATGTCTCGCGTAATTTCAAAACCTCATCAACTTCAACCTCCACAGTTAAGTAGTAATGTGGAATCGCCTGCTTAGATTCGGATAGACGAGTTGCAATAACTTTACGTACATTAGATAAAGGAATATCTTTATAAGCAGCTACTGTTGGTGTAGCTGTTGAGATTTTTGTTTGTCGTGAAGAAGGTTGTTTAGTAGTTGGTTGTTGCTGTTTAGCAGCACCACCTGATGCTATGTAGTTTTCAACATCAGATTTAGTAATACGATTTTTTGGTCCGGTACCAGTAACTTGATCAAGCGAAATATTACGTTCAACGGCTAATCTACGAGCTACAGGACTAGCAAAAATTCTTTCAGAAGAAGGTGGTGGTGGTGGTGAAGAAGGCGGTGGTGATGATGATGGTTGACTTGTTGATGGCGATGGTGTTTCTGGCTTAATTTCTTCTGTTTCTTCTGCTTTAGGTGATGGTGGTGTTGCACCTGCTTCTTCAACAGCAAAATCAGCAAATTCCTCAATACTATCTTTACTTTCTGCTAATACAGCAATTGGCTATACAAATTTTTTTTTTCACCCAAAATTAAAAAATTAAAATATTGTTTCTAAAAAACTTTAAAATAAAATAAATAAATAAATATGGCATAGCATACTTTTCCAACATTAACTTCTTTTGTACCAGATTCCACGAGGATTTTAGCCAGGTAGCCTTCTTCTTGGCATTCAAAATCCATTTGAGCTTTATCAGTCTCAATTTCTACTAATACATCACCCGGAGTTATTTCATCGCCAATGTTTTTTTGCCATGTTCCCAGACTACCCATAGTCATTGTAGGGGATAAAGCAGGCATTGAAATTATGGTATGAGTTGGATATTCTATATAATTTATATTTGTAATTATTGTTGGTTGATTTGGTTGATTGATTAAGAAATTTTGATCAAGAAATCTTTACTTACGTTTTGAAGCATAGCATCTGTATAAAACATTTTCAAATTTTTTGTAACTTTCAAAAAAACGATTATTGTTAAAAGTAAAACCTTTCTTCGTACTAAATTATATTGTAATTAGATTTAGAAAACGGTATGATTATTTGAAAATGTGTAAAAGTATAATAATGAATAAATATTTAAATGTTTTAAAAATGCACACCAATTAGTTAAAAAAGAATGTCCATGAAATTTAGCAACTTGTAAACATATAACAAAAACTTGTGATGCATTCTTCTTCTTTATTGAAACGTGCGACGATGATGATAATGATAGTGATGATGATAATGATGATAATTGTTTAGTAAATATATTATTACTAATGTACCAACTCCTTTGATTTCTTAAAAAATACATTATTATTATTATTTATTATTTTTCCTTATCATGAAATTAAATTTTTTTTGATTCCATATAATCTAGATATGACATATATGACATCATCATCATCATATGGGGTATGGACAATACAGTCAGGGATCTTTCCAAATTTGGAAATCGATTCTAGAAAAATTGGAAACCCCTTTGTTGATCAATTCATATATGTTTCATACAAATGAGTTAACGTGATACTTTGTACCTTTGAAAAGTTTTTTTTTTAAAAAAAAAATCCTATTATAATAATTGTAATAAATACTTCTAAACATACACTTTCTTAATCCACCAAGTTTTTTTCTTAATCCACTGATTTGCTCAAAATATACCTTTTCTAAAATTAAAGATATTTATGTACCAGGAGTTCAAATTTGTTGGTTTTTTTTTATTTTTTTGACTTAAAACAGCAAGACCATCTGTTGATATTTTACCTTGCTTATTTGTTGTGCTCACTGCACTAAGAGATACTTGAAATACTCAGAGGACCAGTTGAAACAATGCTTCTAAAGTGAGAACATATTAAATAAAATGTATTATATGAGCAATAAAGAAAGGATCACATAAAACTATTTACTATAATGTTTTAATTTAATTATTCACAGTAAGAAAATTCAAATTTATTTTCTCAATCATTCATATATATTCATTCATTCATTAACAACTCTATTTATTTATTATAGATTTGCTCAAAGACACTCAATATATCTATTTATTATAGATGTGGGAAAATTCAAATTTATTTTCTCAATCATTCATATATATTCATTCATTAACAACTCTATTTATTATAGATTTGCTCAAAGACATGTAACTCTCAATATATCCATTTATTATAGATGCAGGAAATTCAAATTTATTTATTTTCATATTAATATATATTCATTCATTAAGGCATAAGGAAATCTATTTATTATATAGATGCAGGAAAATTCAAATTTATTTTCTCCAATAATAATTATTATTATACAGTTATATTTTACAAGAAAATTCAAATTTATTTCCTCCAATAATTCACAATAATTAATTGTCTTTTATGTATTCATTTATTATAATTTTGATAACATTAGAGCCTGCTATATGAGATTTATAATAATTATGATGTATACATGAATTAATTAATACCTGTTATATATTATATATTATATATATTGGGTAGGCATGCATAGTATTTATATAAAATTTAGCCAATCATTGTTGATTTGATTTTTTCCAGAATATTTTTGGTCGTCGATCATTACAATATTTAGAAATTCCAAATTTGGAAAGTTCCCTGACTGCAATAGAAACGTGACCAACGTCAAAATCATGATCAAAAAAATAGATTTTATTATTATATTACAATTTTAATATCCTCATTTTAATTTACATTGTTTATAATTTCTTTAAATATCTCAAAATTCAATATAGGAGTGCCATTAACTCAAATTCGTCCTCAGGGACGTTGGTCACGTTTCTATTGTCCATACCCCATATATGGAGTTGGTATCACAAAACTAAACTTGATTTCGCATATTATGGGAAAATGAAATTTATCATAATTTTTTACCAGATTTAATGAATTGCTAGAATTAAGAATTTTAAATTTTTAATATATAATATAGGAAAGAAAAATAAAAATAAAGTTTTACCGATAGTAATAGATGAGAGATAACTTTAATCCACAGTGCAGTTTTTTACTCTGCCTAATAAATGAATAATTATGACCCGAGGAATTAATAATTGCCATTTCCATTCAATACCACATGCAACCCATCGACAAAAAATCTTCAATTGTTTATTATTAATAATATATTTCAAAGATATACATACATACAAATAATCCCTGATTTGTTAATGTCAAAAAAAACGTGCGCTTGTGTTCTGTTTACAATTTTCGGTTTATTAATATTACCGACGGACAATTAATTAATATCTTTAATTATATTGGTTAAATATATATATATTAATAATAAATATTGATTAATAATAACTACAATAAAGAGGCTGAGCCAACCAAAATAAATGAATGCTACGGTTTGGCCGGAATAACATTCCTCAATCAACATTAATTAATATATTAATATCATACTAGCAATCATATTTTTAGTTTTTTGGTATGGGTTAAATCCGGCATTTTTATTTTCATTTATAAACAAAAAAATCTTGATAACAAAGAGTTTTGGTATGTATGCATCTACACTTACATAATGAAAAATTTTATATTAATAATAAATAAAAATAATATAAAATAAAAAAGTATAAAGAGCATAAAATAACTTTTTCTCCCAAAAAAAAAAAAAAACGACTGTAATTTTTTGTAAATACTAAAAAAAAAAACAAAAATCATCTTCAAAAAAAATCATCTTTAAATAAATCATCTTAAATAAATCATTATATTTTAACCATGGAACTTGACAATTTCAAACAAGAAAAGTTTAATAATAAAATACAAAAAAATTCTCCAATGATAATAATACAAAATAATGATGATGATAGTTATAACGAAAATTTATTAATAAAAGAAAATTGGATTAGCGAGAATAATGATACTACCATTACTTTTGACCATTTATCATCGTCGTCTTCATTTAATAATGATAATAATAATGGTAATAACAATATAATTAACGCTTCACCCTTAACAATTTCTCCTTGTTTTACTTCTTCCAATTCATCTCTATCTACTTTATCTTCTTATTCTATTAATAACAAAAACACAAAATTAAAATCTTCAAAGAAAATTTTCAAAAATTCAAAACGTATATCTTTACCAAACCTTAAATATAACATTTACGCTAAATGTCAAAATAAAAACAACAAAAACAACAACAACAGTGATAAAAGTGATAAAAATGGTAGTAATTTTTATTTATCGTCACCTTCATCATTCTTGGAACCAATTTCACAAGTCACAACAACTTCTGAATCTTCAACTGCTGCAAGTAATATTTCTTCATCATTTAATCAAAAGGATTCAATAATTCCCGCTCAATTCATCTTTAATCATTTTCCACCGCCACCATCATCGTTTACCACAAAACGTATAAAAATTTTTAAAAATTTAAAACATTTACTAAAAAACAATTCTTCAATTAAAAATTGCAACAACAAATTTTCAACTTTCTCAACTTTCTCAACATCCTCGTCATTCAATTCGCCGAAATCATCAAAATCACACCTAGCAACAAATTTTCCAAAAAAATCAAAATATAATGATTTGAAATTTGATAGAATGATAGGCGAAGGAGTTGGTGGTAAAGTACATTTGATCACTACCACTGAAGACAATAAAATATTTGCCATAAAACAATTTACAAAATGTCAACCGGAAGAATCTGAAAAACATTACGTCAAGAAAATCTTGACAGAATTTTGCATCGCATCAACACTTGATCACCAAAATATAATCAAAACGTTTGATATTATCAAGGGAAACGATAGTAACAATCAATTCTATCAAATAATGGAATATGCTCCTTGTGATTTCTTTGATATTGTAATGTCACAAAAAATGTCAAAGGCTGAAATGAATTGTTGTTTTGTTCAAATTGTTAATGGCGTAAATTATTTGCATGAGATGGGAATTGCTCATAGAGATTTAAAATTGGACAATATTGTAATGGATGAAAATAATATTATAAAAATTATTGATTTTGGATGTTCGGTTGTATTCAAAAATCCATTCAGTGAGAGAATCATCTTGACAAAAGGTAGGAATTTTTATAAATTAAGTTAATGGGTGAAAAATTGATTTTTCCATTTGCTTATCATATATTAATCTATTTTGTTTTTTTCTTTCCCTCTTCAAATTAATTAAAGGCCCATATGGAAGTGATCCGTATATAAATCCTGAGTCATACAATCAAAACGTATTATACGATCCAAGATTAGCTGATATTTGGGCTCTGGGTATAATATATTTTTGTATTTATGTGGGCAAATTTCCTTGGCTAATAGCAAAATCAGATGAAGATTCTTCTTTCAGAGCATTTCTAAAAAAGCCAAATAATCTATTCAATAAGCTACCAGTTGAATCAAGGCCTACCATCAGTAAAATAATTGAACTAAATATAAATAAACGTATAACTATTAAGGAATTGTTAGATGATGAATGGTTTAAAAGTATTGAATTTTGTTCAGTTGACGGACAGAAATCTGATAATCACCATTCACATATTGATTGGCACCTGGATATTTAAATAGAAATTTCTAGATTTGTTAATTAGACATTTGTTTGGAAAAAAAAAATAAAGTATATAGAATAAATACTTTTTTGTTCATTTTTCAAAGATTATATATATTTTATTACCTTGAAAAATGTTATTATAATGGGAGAGTGTATTGTATTATTAAAAATCAAAAAAAGGGTAATAGAAATAATAAATGATTATAATCTAAAGAAATACTTGTTCACCATTTGTTTTGATTTCATTCATGATCTTCTCTTTCATCAATAATCAATCTCTTATGTTAGAAAATTACTTCCGTGTGACATTAATAAAAAGCATTCGTAATGATATGAATGCTCACGTGCTAAAATACAACCCAGAGTGTGAGGAGGAGATATTTGGAGGGAGGGAGAGACTAATAGAAACATTTAATGTCAGCAACAACATCCAATGTTGGAAGTTTGCATGGGGTTTTTTATTTTGGTTTTCTATGCTTACCTGATCTATCAATAATTGTTTTTCCATTTCCAATATATGAAAAGCTCCAACAGATTATATTACTGTTCTTTTGTCATAAAAAAGATCTAATTTATTTCATTATATGAGAGGACTGTGAAACATTTTCCTTAATTTGGTAGGCGAATGAAATCAGTGAAGGATCTGCCAAATTGTGAGTACTCGTGAGTATATTTGTGAGTACTAGTACTACAAGGAGTTATCGGGCAAACAGTTTTGTTATTTTAGGTACAAAATGACATCAATATAATAAATGATTTGATTATAAATAGTATATCAATTATATTATTTATTATTAATTATTCAAATATGTTATATACATTTCCATCATTTCATTGTGATAGTAAATAATATAAATTAAATTGGAGATATTGAGAATGAATAAATAATAAATATATTGTTAGTATATTAGAATGGAAAAATAAATAATAAATAATACCTTTCTTTTTGGTATATAAAATATAATAATAAAAGAAAAATGTAAAGCGAGCATATAACTAAACTTTAATAAAACAATGACGTTTGAAAGAATAACTTAACAGTGATTGCCCGATAACATCGATATTTGGTGTGCGATGGACAATTTCAGTGACATATTGACCTATCATATTTTAGACATTTTATTTTGACTACAAAACGCGACTAAAATGAATTTACTTTGGCAAATATTAATTTTTATTTATTTCACAGTTTCTCAGTTATAGTCGAGGAAGAAAATCCGAGAACAGAGTCTTGTTTATTATTTAATTTGTATAAACGAATTTAGTTAATTTTCACGTCAACTAAAAAATCACGTTCCAGTTTAATATTAATATGAAAAATAAAAATAATTATCGCATTTCAACGAATTTCATATCTGCAGCAAAAATTCGTTGTAACATGATAATCCGTTGAAACTGTAATAATAATAATATGAATAGTTAATGTCTCGAATTTACTATTCATAATTTACTAACACTAATAGTGTTGACATACTGAAAACCCATTCGAAATTAGTTTAGAGAAACGGTTTAGGAAAATAATTTTGCTGATATAACGTTATTACTTTTTATTACAACGAATTTTTGGTCTACATTTAAAATTTTGTTGAAACAAATATAATAATGATGATGATAATAATAATAATGAGTGCCCCATGGATTTGTTGAAACGAGGCTTATTTTTTTCTCAAGTCGATCATACTATATTGAGTATTCGCCATACATTACTCATGTCGCGGATCGACAATTAAATATATTAGTTGCCATGTAATTGATCAACGATTTTAACTTAATTTGTTTGAAGGTGGTGTAATGAAGAATGAAAATTTTCCACATAAACAAGTGAATATTTTGTTCGATGATATGTGCCATTGGATGATGTGTAGTAAATCAATAGAATACACCATTAAAAAATGCTAATGGTCGTAACTGTAAAAGAGTACAAAACACTGCTTCCTTATACGCAGTCCAATCTCCACTTCGAATATGATTGATTTCGAAAGGTAAACTCCTCCTACTACATACTGCAAAAATATCGTCCATGTATAGTTGAGGTTACCGCAAAATCCTGTTTAGCATGATGCCGAATGTAAAACCTCCTCCATAGTGCTGAAATGCCAAGACAGTTTCGGAGTGATTTTAATTATAGTTTCAGGTTTCCATTCGAATAATTCGATAGTAAAACGAATAAATAATTCGAATTATGATTAGGAATGAGGCGGTTTTTGTGAAAACTGCGTCTCTATGCTTATTGGCCAGATTATTATATCACGTGAAACTGTAACATGATAATTCCAAAATGATACATATACAGTGTGTTAAAGAAAAAAATTGGCTGAAAAAAAGTCGAATTACTCAACAAACACACAAGATAATTAAATAAAATTAGATTCGTTTAAAAGCAATCAATTACTTTATTGAATAAAAAAAATTTGCTACAAAATGATATCGCCAATTTTTTGTAAGGTCAAACCATGTCTTCTTTTCAAATTTTTGTCTCTGAAATTTTAACATGGAATTATTTTTAACAATTGCTCTAACACAAAACACACATAATAATCATATAAAAAAATGTGTCAATTTGTAGTTTAAATTCTGAGGATTATGGATATAAAATTATATGAATCCATATTTTCTAGAACTTCCTCAATTAAATAAAAGAAATTTGATCATTTTTGAAAAGAAAAATTTTAAAGTATTTTAATCATTGCTCTAAAATCTACATAATAATATGCTTCGAAATTTAAAATCTCTCAATCATCTGATATAATTTTTATAATGTGGTTTTGAGTTTTGGGGTTCTTTTTTTTAGAAAATCATTTACAGGCCAATTTTTTCTTAACAAACTGTATATATATGTATGTTAAAACTTCTACACTCTTTTTATTTGTTATCCAGCTTTTAAACACAAACATGCTCTGCAGTTTCTGGCAACAAACGATTCCGTATTTTACTAATTGTATTTCCAGCAACTGAGAATGCCTATTCTGATGGAACACTAGTTGCTTGAATCGTAAGATAATCTTGTGCCACATCATTTACAATTGAGTACTCTCTAGCATGTGCTTACCACCATAAAAGATGATCAGTTTCTACATCTACCAGTAGGGCAAGATAATGATCCAGTTCTGATACTATAGATGTTGAAGAGATTTGTCCCACCATGTTGAAGTTGAGTGAAATATTGGCGAGTGTCATGTTGACATTTTTCTTTTAGTAGATGTTATGGAAGAGTGTTGCTGATACGTTTCAAAAATGGTTTGAATGTGTGCACAAGTGCTTGCTTGACTCTTCTGAAAAAAAAAGAGAGCTTGGTTCGGGAATCTAAATTGAGGTAATTGAAAAATGATATTCTAATATTCTGCAATTTTTTGAAGTATTGAAGCTGTTACCTCATATGTGTAAAAAATTTCTTTTCCTGAACATTCATATAGATGCTCCCAAAAATAAAACGAAAATCACCCATGGTAGATAAGATGATACTGAGAGGTGTATAGTGGCCTTTTCTAAGGGCTCAAGGACTATGGGAATACCCTTAATTATAATCCAACAATTTCCATTTGGGTAAAGGTCTTTGACAGACTGATAATCTGCAGGGAGTAAAACTAATGCTGGCTGAAGTTGTTCTAAATGCTTTAACATATAATAAGTTGAGTTCCAGTGGGTTTTCACATTCAAAATAGGTTTGCGATAATTAATTCTTTTTAAACACACAAACCGCAAAGTTCATCACAAAGGCAAGTTGAATCTTTAATTTTGATCATTAATTCACATACTTTATCAACTGAATTACTAACTAATTCTAACCCTTGCTTCACACCCAAGTTCAGAACATGTGCTGCACAACGATAATGTGAAAAAGTCTTTGAAAAAATTTCAGTATCAAGTGCATTAGCAATTTCTCTTCCACACACCAACATTGCAGATTTGTTGTCTGTAGTTAATGCAATAACCTTATCAGAAATATGGAATTTATTTAAACACGCAGAATTTCTTGTGCAATGTTTACTCCTGAATGTCTATTAGTAAAAGGGATGATGTCAAGAAGGAAATTACAGAGACATCAATTTGAATCTACATAATGTATTGTTGGTCCCAAAAAGGCCTCCTTGTTTATAGAAGTCTACATATCAGCTGTCAATGAATATCTTTACTCAATTTGACAAAGTTCATTGATGATTTCATTTGTTGGTTATTGAACATATCAATTATATAATCTTTTGCTTGATGTCTTTCAAGAATAGTGTAACGTGGACAGAAATATATAGTTGATAAATGCTCTAAAATAGGGCTTATCAACTACAGTAAAAGGTTGTAGATCATAAACTAACCATCAAATAAGGTATTTAGTGGTGTGTTCATTTTGTTCTAGCTCACCAAAGGGATTCAGTCTAGTTTTGGTGGCTTTTTGTTTCATGGAAGATGCTTCTAACTGATGCTTTCTGAGATTCTTACGTTGCCTTATACTTGGTTGCACATATTTTACAAACATTACATCCTTGCGCATAGGATGGATTTCTATCAAAATGTTCCCACATGATTAAAGAAATGTGAAAGCATTAATTAGGTTTCTATCCAAATAAGGTTTATTCGAATTATTTGTTTTATTCGTTATTATTATGAATTTGAGTATTCGAATTACATTGAACTAATTCTAATACTAATACTAATACTAACACTAACACTAATACTAATACTAATACTAACACTAACACTGATACTAATACTAATAATAATAATAATAATTCGAATAAAAAATTTCTTAATTCGAATGATAAAAAAAGATATGCACATTGCTAATCCCAACCCGATTAAAAAATTTTTTATCTATTTTCCCTTGGTCCCTTATATATATTGTGATAATAATAATAAATACTAGTAGCAGGCATTTTTCTTAAGTCATAGTACTAGCAACCATAGTATGTAGTAATATAGATTATAAATATAATTATTGTAATTTATATTATCTTTGTTAAAGAAATAAGACTTGTATATTTTTTAATTCGAATAAGAGTTTGTATTATGAATAGAAATCCCACGCGACATGCATATATCTGACCAGACTGATATTGTAAATATTGCTTAAGATTCATGGTGAATTTACCTCGGGATTTCCATTTATTTATATATAGTGATCCAAATAATGATGTATGACGAAACTTTTGACTTTAGTCATTGACGTAACTAAAGTACTGACTAAAGATAGTTTCTCACTAGGGCCGTTTTGACGATTTGACTAAAGTAAAACCACTTGACATAAGTAAAACCACTTGACGTAATCAAAAACATTTGACATAAGTAAAAATGCTTGACGTAAGTAAAAACACCAGCAATAATGATGATAATGATAAAATAGATTTATCAAAAGTTTACATTATGCAAAAATGTGTCTCGGGGATGAATAAATAATTATCATTATTGTGTGTATATTGCAATGACGCAAGAAGAATAATTATCATTGGAAGTTACGAATGTTATTATTTGAATTAGAAATTAAAATAAATATATAATATTATAATGAAACTACTTATTTTTTCCGTATATTCTCTTTAATGTCTCTTTTCTTTTATTACTTTTCATAAAATGAAAAAAACCAAATTGTTAATTTGAATTTTGACTTTGAAGTTAGCTACGCGTAATGTTAATACGCAATAATATTAATAATGTGCTTGAATTTGAAACATACATAGGCTGGTACGTAGAATGACTTTTACATACAGATACATGGAAAAGATTTAGATTTACATAGTGGTAATATACTTGTGCAAGCAGGTGGTTGTTATATTACAAATTTGGGATTATGTGGATCAGTTGGTGAAAAAGAACATCAAAGAATTAGATTTGCAGGTCATCCACAATTTGATGATAGAGCTCACGATCATTGTTTAATTTTTGATATCAATATAAAAAGCTTTTGCGTAGAATTTTCATTTGATAATAATTATACACTAAAATTAATTATAAAGTACACAATTATACGAATCCATAATTGATTTTATCTATCCTGATCATGTATCATGCATGAGTCTTTGGTTAACATAAAAATAAATGTTATGCTCCATGTTTTCAAGTTCGTTTTATTGATCCATGAAAAATGAATCATTCTTAGAACTAAGATGATCCACTCAAATATGAAAATATTCCTTCATGATACGTGTATATATATATGTATGTATATATACATATATATAGGAATGAAATAAGCAAACAGCCACTATAAAAGACTGTATATAATTAAATTATTTTATTTTTTGATAAAGCATTGGATGAATTGGATCATGGATTTTAGCATAAAAGGGGAAGAATAAATAATATACATACTGTATATTCAAAGACACATAATAACAATAAGCTAACATTAGGTGTTAGCTTGCTAATTCTGTAATAAGTACCTCTCATGTTAATTATAACGTAGTAATAGTATAAAATCAATACTTCAAATCGAATGAAATGCTTGCAATTGATATTCTAAATCCATCAATCAATTTGTTTGCTTGCTTTTATTTATTTATGGTGCTGAAGAAGAATTACGGAATATTATTGATGACATGGGGCGTATAAATTAAAATATTTCCCACAAAATATATATGTTGCGAAACAATACACCATTAATATTATACCATTTTGAGTTTGGACTATATAATATTAGTGATAAAGGTGAATACATCATTACACAAATATATGTAATTTATCAAACTTTACATTAAAATTTAATTATAAAACCTTGTCCTTAAAAGTAATTTTTTAAATTAACAACAAATGGATTCAACAATTTTGGAAAAGTATCTTAATGAGAATGAAATATTATTATTAAATACAGAAGATGATTATAATGTAAAAATTTATATTGGTGTAGAACCTAACATTAAAGAAATTCATGCACATTCATCAATTCTACGAGCTCATTGTCCTTTTTTTAGTAATGCTTTGTCTAATTCTAGAAAAGAAAATGGATTTTATATTATCAAGTTAAAAATTAGTGAAGCATTATTTAAACCTATTCTCAAGTAAGTTCACTTTTTAAATTAAATTATTTAAATTAGCTATTAATATTAATATTAATCAATTAATTAATTATATTTGAAAGATTTTTGTATACATGCAATATAGAGTTAGACGATTGTACTGGTGTTAAGATATTGGAATTATTAAATGCAGCAGATATGCTTGGTCTAGAGTCACTTTATGAATACTTGATGAAGTATTTTATTAAAAAACATGAGGATTATATAAAAGAAAATCCTGTTAAAATTCTACAATTGATTTATACTAATGAAAATTTTCAGGAATTGAAAAATATCTATTTAAAAGAGTTTTGTAAATATAGTGAAAAATTATTTGAATCAAATGAATTTAAATCATTAGAAAAACCAACTTTATTGGCAATTCTCAAAAAAGATGATTTTCATGTTAAAGAAATACTTATTTGGGAAAATATTCTTAAATGGGGATTAGCAAGACATACAGAAATCAATAATAATGTTGAAGACTGGTCATCAAAAAATTTTGCTGATTTAGGAAGCACATTAAAAGAATTAATTTCATTAATTAGATTCCATGATATTTCCTCAAAGGATTTTTTTTACAAAATTATGCCATATCAAAAGCTTTTCCCTGAAGATTTTTTAAGAAACCTTTTACATGATTATTTAGTTCCTGACGAACCATCAGCTTTAAATTTACTATCATCACGACATCCAAAATATGATTATGATGATTATGATGATGATGATATTGAAGAAGGTAATTAAATTAACATTTTTAGATTTGAGTTTCTTTTGTAAACAAACAAATAATTTATATTATTATAAATTTCTTATATCAACTATACATGCAGCCCAAAATCTATTTTTTGCGAATCCTCCGATATGTAGAGATAGTTATAATTATTATAATTTTTGATGAAACACCTACTAAGCATGTCACGACGAATATATATTATTATTGATTGGAATTTGCATAAAAATGCTGTACTATATTTTTGGAAAATCTTTAAATATAATTTTTTTAAAAGAGGTTACTATTTGGCCGCAAGGTTCAAAACATGTATAGAAATTTCAAAATTCTTTTACTTTGAATAATACATATAGATTTAATAACAATAGTTAATATAATTAATAACAATACAATATTATTATTATATTTATTCAACGAAAGATATTCTTTTATACATTCCAGTAAGTTTAAAAAATATTTAATAATTAAAAAAATATATAACTATCAACATTAATTTGAGCCTTTCTAGAAATACACAACATCTATGTTGAGATGTTTACCGCCACATTTTTTTTCAAGTGTAACTAAGGCTTCACATGAGCCAGCTCGCTTTAAGTGTAACCACAGTTGTGATGAAATATACTTTGCTGAATACAAACGAAGCCTCCAGCCTCAAGTATACCTACAATTTGTCAATCAATCTTGGTTATTTTCTAGATTGATTATGTTCATTCCTATGCTTATGAGAATACTTGGTACAATTGGTTAATGGTTTCTTTTCTAACATTAGATGCAGTGGAAAGATCATTGTCTATTAGAAAGAGTATTTTTCGGTTAGCTGTTTTGATTTTTTTCTTGGTCATGTGAAGGGATATTAGTACTATCTGCTTTCTTATTTTCTTTGTTGGAGGTAGGATTTAGTTATTTTTATGGGATGATAGAATGATCTTTTTTTCTTCCCCTTATAACCATTTGTCATTTTTATAGATTTTTTAGATTATTTCTTCGTAAAATTGATTCATACCAGTTTCTTATGGAAGGGTAATAAAATTAACATCTTTAGAGTAAATTATTTTTGATTTTTCTTTTGCAAACAAACAAATAATTTAAAATTAGATACCAAGATGCCCACCTCCCTCTAAAGAATGACACTCCGGAATATTTCCATTATTATTATTATTATTATATCTCCGTGATTGTGTTTATCATTACGTAAACGTGGAATGTGAGAATAAGATTCTATATTATTAAAGTCGAAAATAAAACTTATTATTATTATTATTAATTGATAAATTCGCAAATAAAAATGGACGTTTTTATTGCTAAGAACTAACTAAACTCTTGTACCGATTTTTCATTTGCATCATTGCACTATATGGATTTTTTTTTTTTGATAAGATATTTTACTTGTGGAAATTTTTACAAAATGCGTGGAAAAATACACGAAAAACACAGAATATAGTCACTGGACTTCTTGATAATTTAACTAAAATTAGCAACAATGGTCTTCTATTGCTTAATTCTCTTGCGATTTTGTTTCCCTTTCTTTTTTTTTACCTATAAAAAATGGAAAGTATATATATATATATATATATAAATGAAAGAATATAAATGTCTTCACCAGAAGCATCAGATGTTTCATCGGATGTTCTGTCAACAGCTTTGGAACAGTAACTTCAGGGAGAAGTGAATATTTCGGAGGTGGTAGTAGAATCTTCGGAATGTTGTGAGGTTCCAATCGCGTCATATGCTATTTTATAATTAATGGAGGCCGAACATTCCTTTTTTTTGATGGTGGTGGTGGTAACCCTTGTTCCCTTGATTCAGCAATTATTCTTATGAACATGATGATTTGGTTAATGCACTACGAGTAAAACCATATTCACAACGGATCACATCAATAATTTCATGGTGTCTTTATAGTAAATCAGCAAAAGTTCAGCAACAAGGTGCAAATTTAATATCACGAATTCCAGCAGTTATGAAAATATGCGAAGAAGAGTTGATGAGACAAATTAGATCATTATTAATTATTGCAGTAATACATTATGTTCATTAGAAAAGAAGAAATTTGTATCGATTGTTAGCATTGCTAATTTATCAACAATTAAAGATCATCTTCTATATTTGATCAATGAACAAATTCGAGCAACATGCAAAAGTCTTGTAATTTGCATGGCTGATAGAGTGCTTGGCTCAGTTTTGATTTTATTATTTCTAAAATATTTTAATTAGATTTTAAATTTCACAATATTGTTGTTCCAAGGAGATTAAATAATAATGATAAAATGAGGTAATAAATAGTGACAATAATAATTGATAAAAATACTAATAATTTTTCAATAAAAATTCTTACAAGGAAATTATTTGTCGTTTCTCGATACATAACCCGCATATAAGATTAATATTAATTAACATTAAAATTAGGCCGTTCTTCGCGAAAAGACGGTTATCACCGCACAGTGACTAGCCATTTCTGGCCTCTGGCAGACCTTACTCTGCTGCAGGTGTTTATTTTGCGTTCAATAAACTATCGGGTATATTTATTTATGCGAAAAATTTTTTATTATTTAACCATGTTTTCATAGTGAACAATATCGTCAGGAAATTTACTATTCACAAAATATTACAGCATTGATTAAACATTATTAATCCCAACAAATATGGTTTACCATTAAACATATTAGCAATACTTGTAAATGATTTATCAGATCAATTTATAAAATATACTCCTAGACAAAGCTTCGGCCACTATAAAACAATAAATCATTTTGTGTGGCTAAGTACGCATGCATAATTCCAAGTTTCTGTCAACCAATTTGCCAATTATTTAAATTTCCAGAGGTAAGTTTCTGAAGATCAGTTAAATTAAAATCATAAGAAGCCATCTATTTTCTCACTTTGTTCTTTTTTAATAGTGCATATTTTTATTTGAATAATAAAAACGTGTAACGATCAATTAATTAATTAATATAATAATTATCAATGTCTTTCTTGATCCACCATGATTAAAAAAACTCTACCATTTTAGGTAAAAAATGGTTATTGGAATTTCCCAACTATACTTAATTTGCAAATGTTTCATTAACAGAGATATTTTTTTTTATATGCACTTATTTCTCACGTCTTGTCTATGAAATCGCATTCACGTAAATCTTGAATTTATTTCTGATTTGTTTAATCGCATCTTTCATTTCATTCAGAATTTGATGGGCTGTGTGATAAAAGTGTAAATTACCAAACATCACCTCAAATACAGCATATCGATGCTTTATTCAACAGATTGTTTATGACGCCAAGCTACGAGAATGTAAGATAAATGATAAATCCTGATAATTTCTTCTCAAGTTCATGATTTCGGACGTTGGCTATATATCCCTTCCTATTTTAAATGCCAATGGATAGATCATTACTTGTAAAACGTTTGCTCGACATAGTAATAATGGGTCTTCCATTTTTTTATTTCATTTTACCAAAATTCAGAATCGACTTCTCGGATGTATACTTTTTTTATTGCTGACTTACACTTAAAAATCCTTAAATTTGGCCCCTCTTTAACATTGATGACGGTCAGAAACTTCTTGCACAAATCAATGATAATTTTTAAATTTTTTTTATTTTTCCAAAAATTAAATTAAAAAAAAAAAAATTCTAATTAGTTTCAAAAATAATTAAGAAAAGGGATAAATTTGTGTGAAATTTTATATAAGAATGATTTAAAGCATTTTTGTAAAATGGCAATATTTTTAAAAATCGACCTATTACTATTTTCATAATAGATCTTATATTATATAACTCAAAAAGAAAAACATGGATTTAGAGATAAATTCTAATGTAACCCCTAACCCTTGCTCTACACACAACACAGCAATCAATCAACCTGGAACATTGTTGGCAAGTGACAAAATGTTTGCATGGAGAGAATGCGTGTGTAATAGGTTCTTCAAAACATACTTTGCACTTTATGGTTTGCTTGAATTGTTCAAGCTGTTCTATTTCTCTGAGATTTTTCAAATCTTCTTTATCTTTATTCAAATCCTGAATAATATTCAAGTATTTATTAACCTTTTTAACATTTATTTTATTGTTGTCTCTTTCTTTATTCAATAGAAAATTCAATTTTTTAATTTGTATATCTTGATCTTTTCCTATTTCACTTTGCTCCACTAACGATTTCTCAAACCTGTCTAATTTTTCCAACATTTCTAATTTCTCAGATTTTACCAATGACAATTCATTATTGATTTTTAAATTAGTATTGTTACTATAAACATTATTGTTGATTTGATTGTGTAAATTTTGTTTCAATTCTTTAATTTCAAAGTTTTGATCATGATTCGTCCCTTCAAGGCTCTCTATCAAACATTCGTATATACTACATTGTCTCTCTAATTTTGCATTGTCCCTCATAAGTTGTGAATTGATTGAGTCCAAGACTCCATAATTATAATCTACCGTTTTCTTGTATTTTTTCAATTTCTTATTGTCTGCCTTCAACTTGATACTGTACGCTTTAAGTTTACTATTTTCTGTTATCAATTCATTTTCATTGTCTTCCAATCGAACCTTTCCTCCTTCAAATTGTGCATTCATTTCTTCCAATATCTCTAATTTTCTCATCATATTGTCTAATTCTTCTTCTTCCAACATTATGTGATTATTATTATTATTGTTCTTTTTGTTCTTTTTGGGGAAAAAAAATTTGAATTAATTGATTAAGATCATCCTATATATTATTTATTTGGCCAATTATAATTCATTTCATATCCTAAGTCAACAAAATAGGTAATCTAACGCTAAACACTAAATTTATTTTAATTTTTTATAGCTTGCTAAAAAAGAAATCAAAATATACGTCATGTGTTATTACTATATATAGAGAGTAAAATGTTTTTTTTATTCCTCAAGGTTGTAGAAAATTAGTCATCGCCTTGAAAGTGAAGTGAACATCCCCAATTTTCCACTAGATCTTTTTTTTTATTGGAGATTCTTACGATCTCTTCAAGTAGTCTTGTATATATAATTGTAAAACTACCTTTTTAAAGAAGTTAAATTCACCTCAAAATGGTAGAGTTTTTTTAATAGTGGATCAAGCAAGAAAAGAAGATAATTCTGATGATGATAAATCCCAATATTCATTATCAATAATTTGTAATTTTAAATTATTAGTATCAATTAATTTAGATATCTTGACTCTTCTCCTGGTTGGTACCTGGCATAGAAATATATATAATTAAAGTATTTAAAGATATTATAACAGATAATATAAATACTTTTTGTGGATCATTAGGTTGAATTGTTTTGTGGAGGTTTAATAGATGATTAATTGAATCGATCATGGTTGCTAAGAAATATTACGAATACTCGCACGCATTGAAATCAATTTAAAATCATGTGCATATTCGCTAATTTTGACTATTTTAAAATATTCTTGGACATAATTTTATGTATTTTGCATAATCAATATTAAAAAGGGCAAAAGCAAAGTCTGCATATTTGCAATATCAGAGTGATGGATTCCTCTTTTACGATCATTCTGTTCAACAAAGCCGTTGATAATAACAATGATTGATGAAAGTATTGTCAACAAACGCTCCATTCATCAAATTCCTTCAGCTGAATCAAAGGAGGTGGTTATCGAAGGTTTGATTGAGCATTTTCTGGTTCTAAGATCCCATTAAAAAAGGAGGATAATTTTTTTTAAAATTACGTTAGAATGTATTTGACTTCCAATATTAAATTCTAGAGCAAAGTTTTTCAATGTACAATTCAAACTAAATCATAATATACGTGAATTATTGATATTAATATGTTTTTTTTTCGTTTCTCTGATAAGAGCGCCTTGTATACTTTCTAATGCGCTCTAAAGATATTGATTCAAGAGCTTCTGGAATAGTTTTTTCTGACCATTAAAAGAGTAATCACGAAATTTTTTCTTAATTGAATATTTCAATGTTTAGGATAATTTAATTTGGCCAAATTTAGAATGATTTTGCCAAGCTTCATGTACACCGCACAAATCTATTTAATAGCAGGCATTATAAATCCAGTATAAATTATATGTAATTGATTGATGTTAAATTTGTGCTTTCTTTATTATCATAATGTAATTTCACAAAATAAAAGTAAAGAATTATAAAATTTTAAAATTAAAATGAAATCTAAAAAAAATCTAAAGTCTATCTTCCTTTAATATTTTGTGGATAACTTTTGGTTTGATATAAACATGACATTTATGAGCATGACGGTACCAGAGCATAGAATTTTTTTTACGAGAAGTTGAAATTGTAACCCATTGATTACATTGATGACAAAGACCTTCGGTACGTTTGCCAGGCGAGTCAAATTTGCGTATTTCCACCGGAGAAATAAACATTTTTCCAGATACTGAAGAAATTCCATGCAAAAATTGTTTGTGATACCTTTATTTAATAATAATATCATTAATCAGAATATTTATACACACAAACACATATATTATATAATAATAAACTTTGCACTTGCCAGTAAGCACTATTTTTCAGTTGTAGCCATTTATCTGGTTCACAATTATCACAATAACCTTCTTTTTCATGACCAGAGTATCTGACCCACTGAGGAGTATATAAATCTCCTGGATATCGTAATTTTTGCCTTCTTGGTAGAGCATCCGGCCTTTGTGCCAGATCATCGTTAGGATCAGCGGGTGGCCTGGGTGTTTCAGGTACAGTTTCATTCATATCAATTTTTGGTTGAATTTGAAATGTTGAATATTTTTGATGATGAAGTAATGACGATGTTGATGAAATATTTGATGATGTGTGGTAATCATCAATTGGTACCATTAAAACTGGAGTTGTTAAATTTGTTTCTTTTTTAATTGATTTTGTTTGCTCACGATATAATATTGAAGCGGCAGCTGAAGAATTATCATTATTATCGTCGTTTATTTGAGAGTTACTTGGAATTGTTCTCAAAAGATATGGATATGTAGTAGTTGTACTATCGTCATCAACACCATCATCATTATAAGATATTGTAGATATGAGCGGTCGTTTTTCTGAAAATTGGTTTGCTCGTTCAGATAAACTATCATTATTAGCTATGATTGTTGTGGTTGATGATGAAGGAGATAATTGTGATGTTAACAGCAAAGATCGTGGCTGAAGTGTTAGTGATGATGACGGCGATGATAAATTAATCAAGTCATTTTTTAAATCATCATTTTCTATTAAATGAAAAATATCTACAGAATTACTCGATGATGAATTTTGTTGTTGTTGAAATTTCATCAAATCATCTTTTCCAATATTATTATCACTAATATGAGTATTGTGGTTATCGTTACTTGTAATAATGGTAGTATTATTATGATTATTATTCCATTGAATTGATGATTCATTATCAATACCAATATCACAAAAATCCAGATTATCGTCATCATTGTTATTATTACATGATGTTTTCAAAAGTTTTTGACGTTTAGTAGGATGTTCTAAAAATTGATCAAAAGTGTGATTGTGAATTGTCTTGTTGATGCCAAAACTATTGTTATCGTCAATGTCAAGACTACCAACTATATTTATTTCATTGTTATTATTAATATCAATGCCATTAGCATATATATTCTCTTTATTATTATTATTATTATTATTATTACAATTATTGTTTTTGTTATTGATGTCAAGATTTCCATCATCGTCGTCATCACCATTATTGATATAACTATTATAGTAATTTGTGTGATGATGAGTTGACATTATATCGTTTCCTCCTTAATTCAAAAAAGATTAATTAATTAATTTAATCTTGGAGGATAACAAAACCTAAAGAAAAATTTTTACCATTTTTGCCATCTTCAATATTAAATAAACAAGGATTAATAATAAATTGTAATAGATCATCATCATTTGTATTATTGCTAGTTTCTTCATACGAAATATGTGAATTGGTAGTGTTAAACTGTTGCTGCTGATTACGTTGTTGAGTTATTTCTTGAGAACAAAGATCAAGAAAATCTAAAAATAGCGATTAACAAATCAGTTAATTCATTAATTAAAATAAATAAAAAAAGAAGAACGTACATTGTTGTATATTCTCATTATTATTATGTTGTATTGATTGTATATTATTATTACTAGAAAGATGATCAACAAATCTGTCTCTTTGTGGAAATTTTTGATGATCATCATCATTTTGAGGGGAATGATAATGCATTTTCTCTTGTCCTTCTTGCTCTTTTTTTAATAATGGTGATGATGACAATTCATGTACTTGTTGTAGTGGTAATTCTTGCTGTTGCGATGAAGATGATTGTCCATGTATGTCAGTAGTAGTAGGTGATGATTGATAAGGAGAAGTAGCAACAGCGGTTACGGTTACGGTAGTTGTGGTGGATAAAGCAGAAGGAAAAGTATGATTATTTAATAAAGACGCCGAAATTGAACTTTCAATTGGTAACAATGATGATGATGATGACGAATTGTGTGTCGAGGGTGAAACTTGAAAAAAAAATTTTTTTCATTAATCAAAACATAAATTATAATAAAATTTCGAATAAAAATATATTTACTTGTAAATAATGAATCGTCACCTCCTTGGCAATACATTATAATCGCCGTCGTCCTTTTATAATTTCGTATGCTATGTGTAACTAACTATATTAAAAATTAATGATTTGGGCAAACTACTCGCGTGCTAAAAAAATGGTAAAGGCATAAAAATGTTATTAGCAATTATTTATTTATATATATATATTATTTAATATCATGATTATTTATATTTTAATATGCAAAAAAAAAATTTTGATGGATAAATCAAATTAAAAAGATAATATGCCTTTGCTAATGATTTATTGATCACAGATTATATTTGAGTTTTTTTTGAGGGGAAAATTTTGGAAATAAAAATAAAAATAAAAATAAAAATAAAAATAAAAATAAAAATAAATTTATTTATATATTAAAATGTGGAAAAAAAAGTTTAATAGTAAAAGTTTTAATTGGCAAAAGGTTTAATTGGCAAAAAAAAATTATATATTCCGGTGAAAATCATAAATATATATAATATGTCATTTTAATTGATTTTATTGTTATGTGATGATATCATTTATACTTGCGATTTGACTATTTCAAAAAAAAGCTTTCACACTTTTTTTTTTTTTATAATGATTTGATAAGATCATTTATACCAATAATTATTATACTGTGGTTGTTAGACTATCATTATCATTAACTAACTGTTTGTTGCATTATCGGATCAATTTTTTTTCAAATTCAGATAATGATTTAATTTCGTCTCAATTATTTATTATCTTTTTCACTTAAAGCCTTAAATCGTAATCTACATTGGATCGAAGATCTTGTACCAACATCAGCAGAAACCAATCTCCATTTCTTTCCATGCTTACTGTAGGAAATCTCAAGAGCCTTAATCTCTTCTTCAGACCAAATTCCTTTTTTAATTGAAGGATTAACCGATATTGATCTGTCATAATGATATTTAAGGTTATTTTTTGATCGATAAGGAAACAATTCTTTGATCTTATCCCAATCCTCGCCATGATCCTTCACCGCCTGATACAATTGATCATTTTCAACTTTTGTCCAAGGTGGGTTGGCTATGGCATAGTCATAGTATAGTCGTAAAGTGCCGGGTGGTCTACCAAGAGCTCTTGAGAAAGCATTCCACTTGAACCCATACTGTTCCACTAAAAGTGTCAACATCGCATGTTCCTCCGGTAACCATTTACCTTTTTTTTTCCATGCTAGTTGTTCCCATCGTCTTTTAATTTGTAGTAGATTCCGTGTATTATTAAACTGTTCCACAATTTTGCTCCAATTGTTTGTTCCATGCTTTTTAGTAAGCATTTTCAGTTTCTTATCTTCTTCCTCTGTCCATCGATCGTAATATAACAGTGATTTATTTTTTCTAATGTAGTTCCATTTTCGTGATAAAGTTGCAGTGTCTTTTTTGCAATTGAAATATTCCACTGATATTAATTCCCATTCAGTCCCGTGTTTGACAACCGCTTTCTCCAACAAATCAGTTTCCTCCTGTGTCCATCTCAACATCTCTCTAGATCGAAAACGTTGATATACATCGTTAGATAATGACGATGAGACTGGTGGCAATGGTAGTGATAACAATGATTTAGTTACACTTTTAGAATTATTGGTGTTAATGTTACTGACCCTAGTATTAATATTATTATTTGTTTTGATCCTGTTGGTTTGGGTTGTGTGGGCTCGTCCATTATGCGAATTTATTGCTATTATTGAATTAGTAATATTAACACGATTAATCTTGAGGATAAACAAACGACGATTAAATAATATAGTTATATTCATTTTTTTTTCTTATAATACAATGTAATACAACAAATTATCTGATCATCCATCTCAAGCATCATTGGGGTCTCATGACATATCAAGTGTCATAATTAATTGAGACAAATGCTATTGCTATAATTAATTAAAATGTTGTCACAATTAATTGAGGCAAATGTTATAATTGATTACAATTAATTAAAGAAAATGTTGCAAATATGGTATATTTAAATAACTTTTTTTTTGATGTTCAATTTTCACTTATTCAAATGAATTTTTTAATTTTGTGTATACTACTAGTCATCAGGAAATTTTTCCCACCGCAATATTACATCCATAAATTTTAATATCGATGCAATAATTGCATAATTTTTGTATGCTTATTTGCATAATATTATGGGCCCGCCATAAACTTATGTAAATAGTGTAATAATTACATAAATCTGCGTCAGAAAAATTTCCTGATGGCCAATAACAAAACAAGTTAGTATTAGAATGATTAATTAATTAATAAAATAATCAATAAAATTATTAATAAAGAAATAAACAATAACATCTATTTGCAGAAACTTTCCTGGAAAAATTAAACAGATATAATATAAAAATTCCAAATGAAGAAACCTTTTCAGGAATAGACTGTGGGTAAAATTTCAATAAAAAATACCAGTCGTGTTTACTTCATCAAAAATTATTTTGTCAACAATCATTTTGTTGACACCCATTTCGTCAAAAGTTTGTTTCATTGAATGTTCATTTTGTTGAATGTTCATTTTGTTGAATGTTTGTTTCATTGAATGTTCATTTCATCGAATGTTTGTTTTGTCAAATGTTCATTTTCATCAAAAATTATTTCATCCTCGAGCCAGAGACCGAACAAGTTAGATGTAAGGAATGTGGGAAGTTAGTTAAGAAATTAAGTGAAGAAAGTGGGGTGTGTGGGAAGTGTGAGGAGAAATTTGTTTAATGAAG